AGATGCTCTCTCACTGGAGCTGGTGCTGCACTGTGCTCAGTGTGCCTTGGAGTCAGACAACTCATGATTATGCTGAAGTCCCGGTCACACCAAAATCAGGGGTTGGTGAGCCCAAGGCCCTTGGTGGGAGGATGTGGTGCATTGGAGAGTGGAACCAATGTGGAGAGATGCACTAAAGTGTGGTAAGTGCTAGGAATTTGGTCCTGCAGAGGGGGAGACCTGCTGGACGATATATTAGAGTTGGGCCAGATGGGCCTGAACCTGGAACTGTAGTGGCATCAGTTGGCTGCTCCTGGCTCAAAGAAGACTGGTGATATCTGATTAGGCTGTGTCTCACCCCTGGTCAGGACCCAAAAGCCAGGAACAAAACTACTGCAAACCAGTAACATCAACAAGGTACAGACTAATGTGCTGAAGGCACTCACTGGTTGACTGGCTCAAAGGAGAGGGGGCCAGCCCACATCATCCCTGTGTGCACCTCAGATCAACAGTAAACTGGAGAGGGCAGCAATCCCTTAGCCAGCATGCTTCAGAAAAACCATAAGCAATACAGAAATGGCCTGAGACCTCCACAATACACTTGTCTGAAAGAAACCAGAAACATGACAAGAGAAAGAAACAAGAAAAAGCCTCCAACCACTGACCCAGGGAAAATAAGTCCAGGAGAGGTAAATACAGAAGAGACAGAGGGCAACAAACATGCACTATTGGACACAGCATCAGCGGACATAAAGAAATACCTTTGTGACCTCATAGATGAACTTAAAATTGAAATTCTAATTCAAGTGAAGCAAGATGTAAAAAAAAAATTAGTAAGAGAAATGCCAAGCACTTCTCAAGAAAACACAGATCAAAGAATGGAGGAGAAAAAGGAGAGAAACCTTTGATGAAGAATATAAACAAAATCTAGAATACATGAAAGAGATTCAAAGAGATTACCAGAAAATTAAAAGCTCTATTGAAAACTGGCAAAATTCCTTGACAGAAACTAAAATTAGACTTTCAAAACTTGAAGATAGATTTGTGATGTGTGATCATGAAAAGAAAGATCTCTTAAAAGCAACAAGGAGCCAGGAAGTAACAATACAAAGGCTAGAAGATGACGAGAGGATCTATAGCTCAAAAATAAAAAATGTGAGTAAAGAATCAGGAGTAACCACAAAGGAAATACAAAGGCTATTCACAGAAATAATTAAGGAAAACTTCCCAAGGTTAGGAAAAGGAAGTGATATGCAGATATATGAGGCATACAGAACTTCATCCAGAAACAACCAAAACATATCTACACCCAGACATATAATAATCAACATCCCAGAAATTCAACACAAGAATAGAATATTAAAAGCAGGCAGAGAAAAGAAACAGATCACCTATAAAGGAAAACCAATCAAAATCATGACAGACTTCTCCACACAAACTATCAAATCAAGAAGAGCTTGGAGCTAAGTATTTCAAGCCCTGAAAGAAAACAGCCTCCAACCCAGATTGATGTATCCTGAAAAACTGACTCTCAAAATTAATGGAGAAACAAGATGTTTCCATGACAAAGATGAACTGTGGAAGTTCGTGACCACCCATCCAACCCTACAAAAAATACTGAAGCACATTCTAAAAGAGAGAAAAATATCACCAGGATTCCAGCAACAGTGACAGAGAGGCTTCAACGAATGGGGCAGACGATGGAATGAAGGAGAAAAGCAGACAACCAACAGTAGAAAAATAGCATAGCAGAGATGAGGTAGAAAGGTTGGCTATAATCTCTAATATAGATAACCTTGATACACTAACAAAAAGCAACACAGGCAGAACAGATCAGGAGATAGGGTCCATCAGGATGCTCTGAATAGGAAATATAATCTTCCTAAAAGAGGGTTAATGGACTGACAGTCAAAGATGAGAAAACAATGCTCTATGTGCCAGGGAACCAGAGAGAAATAGGGACAGCTCATCCAGCAGCTGCAGATAGATTGGAAAGTCATGACACTTTTGTGAAGTGGACAACTCCTCAGCTATAAGGAAGGAAAACCTTGAGGCTTTAGAAGGGAAAGAAATACAGCTCAAGATCAAGCTCAAGGGTAAAAAGGTTCAGAACCACTTAGGTAGATAGCAGGTTGCTCCCCTAATCTAAAAACTAAAGGTGTTAGTGGGACCCAAAATGTACAAAGCACCCTGAGAAAGGGAAAGGGGAGGAACTGTCTAAAAAAGAAGGGCAGAGGACATTGTTAACTAGTGTATCAGGATTTAAAAGCCACATTAGACTTATCGCTCTGTTTAGTTTGATTTTATTCTGTTTCAGTCTATCTACTCATACTAGATTCAGGGCACAGACATCTATCCCAAAAATAGGATATGCTTTGGTAACTATCCTTAATTTCCTATTAACTTAACCTGAAGCCTTGCATAACTTACACTGTCTTACTATGACTGCTCTTATTTGAATCGTTTGTTATAACACTGTTTTGTCTTGACTGATTTTATTTGAATTTGGTATGCTTAATAGTATTAAGTATAAGAGGAGAGGCAAATACTCTGAAGATGACAAGATGCAATAGGATACCCATTCCTGTTTGATTTTTAACTGCTTTTGAAGCCCTATGATATCTCCAATGTTTTATTTTTGTTAATAATGCTATGTAGTGCTATATTCAATTATATTATACCTGATGATATAGACAATTCTATTGAAAATAACAAGAGACCTCATAGTAACTACTGTAGACCACTTAGTATTGTGGTTTTATATATCATTTTCATTTCATATTTTTCTAGGAATTTGTTTTGTTGTCTTGTTTTATTTTTCCAATACAGAAAGGGTAGGTATACATGGAGAGATTCATACACATGTAAACTTCTAAATAATTTACAAGAATAGATTATATAATGCACAATGTAATGAACAGATACTTTGAAGAAAAAGAGACACTAAGATACCCAGTGCTAATTTGTAGTGTCATGATATAAAATCTAGCAATACTTTCTCTGTCCAGAGTGACATTAGTCTATTTTCTTTTGTTTAATTTCAACATACGTAAAGATATGGACAGCTGTTTTGAAGAGGAGACATTATGGCAGCCACTGTTGACTTCCCTATTGTCTGGTCTTGAAGACCTAAAATGCCTTCATCATCCTGTTCTGATCTGTTTAGTACTATTTTGTTTGTCATGAATTCACTGTGTGTGAAAATATGGACAACTATTTGGAAGAAAACAAGACACAATATGATAGACAGTGACGATCTCCAGTGGTCTTGCTTTGAAATCTGTGTTTCTTAAATTGTTTTATTATGATCTGTTTTGTTCTGTTTAATTTTACCCTCTTTAAAAAATTATATAGCATGCTCCAAAAGTGTGATAGAATATCTCTGTTTGTTTACTAAGATTTGAAAACTATAATAGTGCCCTTTGTGTTTTCAGAAGGAATCCTGGCAGGTGTTTCTTAAAATTATGGTTGTTTTACTTGTACTACAAATGTAATTCTATTAAGTGTATAATTTAAATAATTCCTATCATATTGCATTATCAAATCTGTGACTGTGTGACTCTCCTGATATTCAGATCATCTTCTCCAATTTATTTCTATATGTGATTTTTCTCTTTGCACATGTTGCAGAATTTTGAAGAATTTGTTGGTAATAGTATATAATAATTTATGAAAAACTTTTAAACTGAAAAAAATGCTGGGAAGGATGAAGTTAGATTGAAGGATTTCTGAGGAAACAGTTTGGGCATAAACTTCTATGGTGAAAAATGTTTTTAATAAGATGACAAAACTGACAGTTTACATGAAAGTCAGTGTTGGCAAAGAAGTTCAGAGGTCCACATGAGTTTGGGGATTACTATCTGGCACCAAGGCCTACTTCTACCTTACAATTGGTGGAATTCATTTGCTATGTTTTAATCAAAATCTATCGGGGACTTCATTTTTCTTGTGGAAAATCCTACTTACCTTCCCTTGTAGAAAATGGTTTATGAAGTCCCAACTCTAATACAGATGATTCTAGGAACTGGAAGGAACAGCACCACAGCCCTTATAGGTTTTGGATAGTTTGCATAGTTGTTTTAAAATCCTCCAAGAACCTTTTAAGATTTTTGAAGCAATTACTTGAAAGGTGTAATTTATGATACAAATTGAAAGCTAATCTCCAAACAGAAAGGAGCACTAAAAATAATAAAAACAATAACCAACGGAAAAGATAGCAAATGACAAAACTCTGCTCTCACTTGGGGGCACCGAGCCAGCCAGTACAGTTCCTAATTTTCCACACAGACCACACGGTCCTTCTCTTTGCTTTGGCTTTATACACAGTCTACCCATTTAGGTACTATTTTTTCAAAATTTGAATTGGTATATGTAAAAACAAAATGAGCTATGAGTTGGTTATGTTTTTAAGTTTGGTGAAAATGCATGATTGACCCAAATAAGTTCTCGCCACTTATGAAAAGGACGCCTTAAACATTATGTAAAAACAAATTTAGTAGAATTGCTGGAGTGCCTGTTCTTTTACCCATAATTCCACTTGTTGAAGTCAAGCTTTTTCAACAAACATGGGGAGGAATGTTTCTTGAACACAAATTAAATAAAACTACTACTTCTCTGACCAACTATGGTAATTAGTAGAGCAAGATCCCATACATTTATGGGACATGTTAGCCCAAGGGATAAAAGACCACACAATAGGCAATTGTAAACCCTGGCTGGGAAAATAACTATAAAATGGATATTTTTCTTTTTTTGGTGGAACAGTTGGTGAGTTAACATGGCCCAAGTTTAGTCAGTTATACTCATTTCATATGTTGTTTATTTAAGACAGTTTACAGTTCTTGGTGGGTTTTCAAGGCCAGGCTATATTGGTGTTGCTATGTGATCAGCATCTAGCACCCTGCTTTCCCATGCATGATGCAGTCCATCACTGTCTGCTCAGTCAATACAGTCAAACGCCAGGAGTCCTTTCCTGACTATGATCACTTCTACATGTTGTAATTTTTCTTCACACTCCAAACTTCATTGATGTACACATTGTTTATTTCTTTTGGATTACCTTAACATTCAGGCCAACACAACTTTTCTGGATGTAACACAGAAATGCACATAGTGTTAGGCTATTTTACTGACTTGGGAAGTCTTCACCCATTTTTGGATGGGGCCTATATAGAAATCTGCTTGTAATAAAAACTGATGACAGGGCTGGGGATTTAGCTCAGCGGCATAAGCACCTGCCTTGCAAGCAGGCGGTCATGAGTTCGATCCCTGGTACTGATAAAAAGGAAAAAAGAAAAAAAAAAAAAAAAAAAAAAAAAACAACTGATGACAACTGTGACAATAATAAAGATGTGATATTAAAATAAATCAAATGATATACAGTACTGTCATTATTCTGATACAGAATTTTTACACAGCAATAATGATACAGGTACAAATGGCAAGATATCAGGCAATCCATTATGATAGACCTTTTGGTTACAAATAAAGTTTAAATTATAACTTAATATTGATTTAAAATGATGACTAGCATTATGCCAGACTGAATTCAATATTTCTTCCTCAAGTGACATTTTTTAGAACACCTCTAACAGGAGAATTTAAAACAAACCTCATGAAAAAGAGAAGAAAAAAATTGCATTGGAAAAGATGTCTTTTATTTGAACAAAAGCCCAAATCTGGAAATCTAGCCTTAGATAATTTAAATTTGCATTCCTTCTGTCCTCACACCTAAGAGCAGAGTTGAAGTCCACGAGGATAGACAAGTGAAGGAAAATTCTAGGAGCTCTCCCAACCTGCCCTGTATAGTAGGAGCTGGGAGCATCCAGTTCAACTGCATCCTCTTGTCACTGTTAAAAGTATCAGGCAAATAGTTAAGTTTTAACCAGGGATTCTCCCAGCAAACTACAGGATCCAGATCTTCCTCTCTAAAATGCTGAAGGGCAGGGAGGAAAATGGAAAAGGAAAAAAGCGAGGCCTTTACTATACTTTGAGGACTCAGAGACAAAGAGACACAAGGTCTCTGTGTGAGGCAGGGACAGAAAGGACTGGAAGAGCAAAACATCTCTGTAACAAAAAGTCAATTCCTATTCTCCTCACTTTTGTGAAAGTGGGTGAGTTACTGGCATTAAAAAAAAGGTAAAGTAAACCGAAATACAAACAAGGAAATGAGAACCAGTTCCATAATGTTTTACACTTTATAGTCTATCCCAGATTAAAATTCTCTTTCAATAGAAAAAAATCATTTAAAAATCAAAGATAACAGTGTCACTTGAAAGTGGAGGAAGCCAAGGCAGTTTTTTCTGGTGTATTTTTATCTGGCACAATCACAATTTAAGACTTTACAGACATCATGTGGCTGTTCACGTTTAAAGTTTCTACTTGAAAGTGATTACGTTCGGGCTAAACAAATAAACTGCTTAAATGAAGTCCGTAAGCAGGCCAAGCCTGGCATACAGGGACACGTGTGATGCATTCTCCGCCCAAAATATGGAACCTAAAGAATAAAGAAAACGGAGTCAGACTAGGTAAAGCTAAGAACCAAACCAAACCATTGTGCAGGTATCATTTGGCGAGCAACACATGTTAACTGTTTACTTGTTCGACATTGTACTCAGTGCTTTTCATATGTCATATTGTAAAGAAGGCAAATCGTTTCACTGTCCCTATTTTAGAGATGAGAGATTGAGGCACAAGGTGTCCAAGGTCACACCAGTTAGAAGTGGAAGCTTGTCAGGCAGTGGACTGGACAGAACAGACTTTCTGCTTTTTATTTTTTCTCATTTCATTTTTTTTACAGGTTCCTGAGATTGAAGCTTTTGAGGAAGAGCCCAGGACTGTTGGCATATCCACATCTATACAATGAGCAAATATCAATTCACAATAAATAAATAAGTTCATACATTTGCATACAGATACTGGGTATCAAAATGTCAGGGTAAGTTTTTTTTTTTTTGAGACAGACTCTCATTATATAGTTCAGGCAACTCTGAACTCATTGTATAGCCCAGGTTGCCTCGAACTCATGGCCATCCTTCTGCCTCAGGCTCCCAAGTGCTGGGATTATAGGTGTGTAAAATCACACCTGGCTGGGTAAATTATTTTTTAAAGGAACACCATGGAAGGTGGGAAGTTCAGTTCACAGAAGTGGAACTACGTTAGATGGCTCTAACCCATCAAGAACAGGCTTATTTCATTCCAAAAGCCCCCTAAGAGCCCAGCCCATGTCACCAGTGAGGCTGGAAGAGGTGGGTTGACCAGTGACCTCCACTGTGGTTCCTTGTGTCAATGGCAAGTTGAGTGCACTCAAAAATATGCATGCCTTCAAGAGCAAAGTGAGCCGAAATCACTTCCCTTTCCCTAGAATGAGGGTCTTTTCCAGTGTCTGCCAGTCTTGCAAGCTGCATGAACAAAGTACAAACCTGGGCCCAGAGACATGTGACCATCAGTGAAACAAAATGGCAAATAGCTAGCTCTGATTCAGGGCAACACAAAAGGGCCAGCTACTGAGTCAGGGGTCCTTCCATAGCTTAACACTGCAGAAAAATATATTCTTCCTTTGACTAAATGCAAATACTGTATTTGGTATCAGTCTTATGTACTTCCTGGTCTAGTCCACCAAAAGAAGCTGCCCCACACCAATCATCTGTGCTTAACAGAAGATCTGAGATCATTTTCCAGATGCCTTCCAAGGAAATTTTACATAAAAAGGCCATCTTCAGACAGTGGCAGAACCATTCTAACCTTACTTTTGTGTGAAATGGATAGGCTGGACCCAACTCTATGGTGGTCCAATAAAATGAAGGCCAATAATCTGGGTGTATCCACACTTGCAGTCTTCTTACCTCCTTTTTCCTTTTTCTTCTCTTCCTCTTTCTTCGTTCCTGCCTTCCATTTCCAAAATGGCTCTGGAAGGGTCAGGGAGATGATTGCGATCAATAAACACAAAGGGAAGAAAGGGAAGCAACAAGAAGGTGGGGTTGGGTGTGCTCAATGGCATAGCAAGAAACACCTGAGCTACCTGGGGTGTTTGCCTTTCTGACGCATCATAGCTGCCAAGAGTCTAACCACAGTGTCTGCATACAGGCATGCTGCTATCTGCTCAATGGAAGCTTCTGCTCAGAATGGTTCTGTCACTGTGTGAGTCAAAGAGTATGCTGAGGGCTGGCTTGTTTGTTGCCACCAAGAATACAGCAGAGGAAGTGCCTCTAGATTAGCTTAGACAATTATAAGAAGACTGGGTCAGAACTGATAGTCAATGACCTTTGCAATCTCTTCTGACTCTAAGGCCTTGAGAATTTCCCTTCAACAAGCCTAAAACTTCTGCGTGCACAAGTGCTTCTCAACCAGGGACAATTCTGCCCACAGGGAACACTTGGCAAGATCTGGAGACAACCTGGTGGTGTTACAAGTAAGGTACTATTCAAGTCAAGTGATTAGCAGCTAGAAATGTTACTAAGCATCCTAAATGTCCAGGACAACAAAGAATGATCTAACCCAAAATGTCAATGGTGCTGAGGCTAAGAACTGACAAGAAGCAACAGTACCCAAGAAAAATGAGCCCGAAGTAAGTGAAAGATGATGAGAATGTCAACCTGTTAGAAATGGAGCCCATCAAGTTTTATTTCATGTGCTCACTCAATAAGCAGTACCCAGTACTGTGTACATATTGGTCCTTATATCGGGTGGTGAGGTACAGTGGTGCAGCAAAGAGGGAAACCCCCTGGCCAGCATGAGGCTGCCATGCCAACGATGAAAGGCAGAATGAGGAAGACGGGCAGCTGCTCCCCAGTGCCTTGTGGTGCTCACAGACTTACACTGCATGCATCACGACACTGTGATCACTCTCTGGGTGGTGAGCACCCTGCAGGCAGCAGAAAGGAAAAATAACCATGACTCCGTACCTGCCCTACATCACACCTCACAAGGCATTGAGAATGAACATCACCCCAAACCTGCAAGCTGGGTTTCTCCCTCCCCACCATGATACCAGAGAAGCAGTTGACTCTGGAGTAAAGTGATATCCTGAGGTCACCTAGCTAGAACTTTAAGTGCTTGCAGTTTCTGAGTGGTTTTTTGTCCTAGGCTGTCCGGTCTTCTCAGTGACCACTATGACCTGACTCCATGACCTATGAAGAGAGGACTGTGGCTATTTTATTTATAAGCATTCAGCACTTAGCCTGGCATATAAAAAACACTCAAGTAAATATCTGTTAAATGACTGTCACCTCAGGCTGGGATTTAGCTCATGGCTTACGTGCCTGCCTGGCATGCGCTAGGTCATGAGTTCGATCCCGGCACCAAAAAAAAAAAAAAAAAAAAAAAATGACTGTCACCTCTACCCCATGCTTCTTGCACAGATTATAAACTCTTCCCTGAACACAAACTAATGATCATCTCTAGTCCCGTCTGTACACATAGAGTACAAAGCGGGCTCAATATGATTCAACCACCAAACTCACAGATGGAGTCATTGCAAAGTCACGGAGGCTGCGGCCCCTCATTTGCATAGACCTCTTTTTGAATCCAGAAGATCCCCTTGGAATGTGTTCATAAAGTTGTATGTTTTTGTGGAACTTTGCAAAATATCTTTGAATTCTTTTTCAAAGGGACTAAGAATGTATAAAAGTATCAGTCTGGAGCTGCCTCAATTGACCTTCCTGTAGATGACAGAACTACAGGTCTCTACAACTTATATCCTTCCTTTTCTCCTTCAACTCAGGTTCTTTTTTCAAGTTCTAGTCTGTACACATTCCTCCATCCCCACAGCCTTTCATAACATCACAAGGCTGTGACAATTTCCCTCTTTCATTTATATCTGTGAACTCCTAATGACAAAGAGCTTGACTTTTGACATTGTGTATTCGGCAGATCTTTGCCCATTTTTTCACCAGCCAGTTTGAATTTTTTGTTGATTTTAAGATGTAAATCAGAAATGGGCAAGTTCTTGAGCTGGTCACAGTCATCACCATTGTTTGTCTTTTTTAAGATCCTCCAAAAGGGAAAGTCTCTATACTGAGCTTCCAAAATGTTACCAACTAGCTGAGGGTTCTTGGTCAGAAATCGCAAATTGGCAAAGTGTAACTATTTTATTTTATTTTTTTATTTTTGTCTTTTTCATTTTTTATCGGTACCAGGGATCGAACTCACGACTGCCTGCTTGCAAGGCAGGCGCTTATGCCGCTGAGCTAAATCCCCAGCCCCAAAGTGTAACTATTTTAGTGTTAACTGCCCTAAACTTTCAGTGGGAGCATCAGCTCTTAGGATTAGAAGCCTTCCTTGCTGCTCAGAGCCAGCAGCCAACAGCAGTCCTTCTGGTCACTAAAGATGATGGCTCCTAATAATTCTCTGCAGCGCTTCATCAGTCTCTGCTGCTCACTGTATACAGTGTTATGAGGTATGGCTGCTTATAGGACCTTTGTCAACAGCTCTTAGTGTAACACTTCAGCATGCTCTACTTGAGACAGACTCATGAGTAGGCAGAATGCCATCAGGGGGCAGCATTGGGAGAACAGCACACAGGCTGAACCCACTAGAGTGTGAGGAGTTTACTTATGTAGGAAAAAAAGGTGGGCTTATACATGTAATTAGTGTCAGACTTTCTATTTGGTTATAGGTAAGGGAGGGCACCCCGCTGTTGCCCTCATGGAAGGCTGCAGAGGGACAGAATCATCCAGAAAGGCTGCAGAGCAGAGTCATCCAGGATAGATCCATGTTCAAAGCCCACCAGAGCCAAAGCAAGTATCTCCTGGAGTAGCTGCAGGGTACCTAAGGTGATGAGGCTAGCTGTAAGGCATTTGGGGCAGGTGTGGAAGAAAAAAATAAGTGTCTTCAAGGGAGAGTGAGGACTCCTTGTGGTGATGGCACTGTTCTGCATCTTGATACTATCAATGCCAGCATCCTGTTTGGGATATTGGATTACAGCTTGGCAGGGTCCTATTGTTTGGAGGAAGTGGGTAAAGAGTATGTAATACCAAAATTGGAAAAACCTGGTAAGACTAAAGCATACTGATGTCTAGTGAATCTCTTTGATCTAAACCTGTAACCACAGCTATGATGCCTACCCTAAGAGATCAATGTAGACAGTGGCCCTTGGCATCTATGACAGGAAAAAAATGAGGGTATGAGCATATTGTGCTTTCTTCTAACCACTGTTCATGACATTTTTAGTTGTATCTATGAAAAGTTGTTAAAATTTTTAAAAAATTTATACCTGAAATTTTGTCATAGGTTCACTTTAAAATGGAAATCACTAATAATTCTTTAAGATCTTTAATTTTTCTTAAACAAAAAAGATTTAAGGTTTTTCTATTAAAATTTCCCCTTCAGAAAGGGAAAAGGTAATACATTTTAAAGTAAAGTTAAAAAAAATTGGTGCTAAAAGTGTTTATGTAGAGTTAGGATGTAGTGTCGTGGTCTAACACTTGCCTAGCATGAGCAAGGCCTGTGTTCAATCCCACAAGGAAAAAAATACAGCAAATTAAAAACAAGATTTAGAGAAACGGTAGTTTACTTTGGTTTTTTCTTTTTCCTTTTTTTTGGTGGTCTTTTTGAGACAGGGTCTCACTTTGCAGTTCAGGCTGGCATTGAGCTCACCAGGATCATCTTGTGTCAGTCTCTCGAGTGCTGGGATTACAGGTGTGCATCACCACATCCAGCAACACAGTTGTTTAAATTGCAAAAGAAAAGACAAAATAATAGGCAATAAAAAATAAAATAGTAATTATATTAATTAGAGCAGGAAATTTGACACAACACCTTATTTTTTAATATTTATCATTTAATTTTGTTATGAAGACCAAAAATCTGTTTAGAGCATAGCTATTAATATAAATTAGAATATGTTTTATAAACAGAAAGTATTTTCTGTAGACTTAGAAAGCTACACATTAATTGTTAAGACTCAGAAAGCTACACATTAATTGTTAAGAAATTATTAAAAATGAATACTGTAGGGCTGGGGATTTAGCTCAGCAGCATAAGCCCCTGCCTGGCAAGCGCGAGGTCGTGAGTTCAACGCCCAGTACAAAAAAAGAAAGAAAGAAAAAAAAAGAATACTGTAAAACTATTACTTGCTTAAAATATGTTTAGAAAATATGTTCTTTCTTTTTAGAAGGCAAAAGGTATTTATTTACAGAGGCAGAACAGATTTTATCCTATTTTTGAATTATCAAATGTAAAGGTAAAAACGATACAGTTATAAAATGGACTGATGCATTTGTGATAAAAGGGTGAAAGGACCCCAGTGGCTATCAGTCCCCATCTACAGCTTTCAGTTTCATTCATCAAACAATGTTCATTTTACTCAGATTTTGATGGCTAACAACTGAGCCAAACCAAAATGAAGGGCTAGGTATGGTAGTACACACCTATAATCCCAGCACTTGGAAGGCTAAGACAGGAGGATCACTGTGAATTAGAGGCCAGCCTGGGCTACATGGTGAATTCAAGGCTGGTCTGAGCTATATGATGAGACCTTATCTCAAAAAAAAAAAAAAAAAAAAAAGAGAGAGACAAAAAATATAATAATTTTCTAGAGTGTCTCCATCTACTAAGAAAACATTTTTTTTTTTTTTTTTTTTTCTTTATGAGACAGAATCTGGCTATGCAGTTCAGGCTGGCCTTGAGTTCGTTTTGTAGCTCAGGTTGGTCTTGAATTTGTAATGGTCCTCCTGCCTCAGTCTCCAGAATGCTGGGATTACAGGCATGTGCCACCATGCCTGGCTAAGAAACTACTAAATTTGAGTAGAACTAAAAGCTGTACCATAATGTTTAATATAATACATTTATGAAAAACTTTTTCTCTTTTTTAAAATTAGAAAAAAACTTTTTCTTGATTTGTTTTGAAACCATACATAAGAAATACTCTAGGGCTGGGGATTTAGCTTAGTGATGTAAGTACCTGCCTGGCAAATGCAAGGTCATGAGTTCAATCCGCACCACATACACACATACACACAAAAGATACTCTAGAAGAAACCATATTTTTAAAAAAGGAAAATGTTAATTTAATCTGAAACTGGTAACAACTCTAGGACCTTCTTTTGAAAATGTACTTCCAAAAATGAAAAGAAAGGAAAAAAAAGTAAGAAAATTTATGAAATTAAGTTCTAAAAATATGTTTGAAGTAGACATCTGAATGCAAGCAACTTAAAATCTGACATAAAGCTTATCTTTCAGTGTATCTGTTATTTTGATATATAATTTGACTATGAAAACCACAGAAGAATTATTTAAAGATTATTAGACTCTGATTTAAAAAAAAAAGAGGTAGACATAGGCTTAGGGAGAGATGAATTGATTTTATTTACTTCTAAAAGTGTCACTACACTACACCTGAATTTGAGTTGTTGAGGAACCAAAGAAAAATTCCATTCTCTTTCAAACATTTCAGACTTGGGAAGCTCATCAAAACTACAAGAGGGCACAGACAGATCCCCACTGCAGACCATTAGCGTTTGTCCCAGGGAATATCTAGTCTCTACCATCCACATACAGCGGTTTTGGTTAATGAGGCTTTAAAAACATTCAAATTAATAGGACACTTCCCTTCACAGAGGCAGAGGGGCGCAGGGGTATGACCACATGGAAAATGGCGTGTCAGGAAGAGGGGAAGGTTAGCGCATCCCTGAGGGATCTCAGCTTGTTCCTGGCCCTCCTTGAGGCTTAATGCAGCCATATATAGAATGTGACCGAAATAAGCCTAATACTCAGGCTCGTGGCGAGTGTTCAGTAAGACATACAGCAGTTAAAATACAGCATTTGGCCGAGTGTAGTAGCACTTAAGAAGTGGGAAGTATTACTGTTAACAGGAAAAGAAATTCACAGTTGTGTTGCTCTTCACTTGCTGTTCAAGCAAACAATGCTAGACTTCAGCATCTGCAGCGTGTGAGGTTACACTAACACTTTTGTGTATAAAATGGCACAATTCTTGAAGGAGAAGTGGAAGAGTGACTTTTCGGGGACAATAACTGAAAAATGCCAAAAATACCCATTTGGAGAGAGCCGGCAGCAGTGCCAAAGACAGAACGGCAGCTCTACCTGCTCGTGGGGAGTTTGGCGTTGACAGTGACAACGCATGCTTTAGGACCCTCCCTGTCTTCAAATGTCCAAGAATAAAAGGTGCATATCATGGCAGGATAGTCTTGCGTGCTAAAACCGCAGGAGGCAGAGTTTGAATGCAACAGGAAGCATTTCACAAGGCAACTACAGAAAAGCCAACAGTTAATTTAGTCCTCAGATGGTGGGTTAACTGGAATCTGTATTCTTGCCCATAGAGCTGCACCTCTGCCCACAGCCCACAGTTTACTCAATCATGTTTCCTCCAAGAGGGGCAACATATCAAGTGATACCTGGGACTGTGGATTATAGGAAAGCTGTCTAGTTCTATTACGCTTGTAAATGCTAAATCACATGTGGAAAAAATAAAGAAAAGGCAGAATTCTGTTGTATTTGATAATATACAACCGGAGTACAGAATGTACAGAGGGAACAGCAAAAAAAAGCCTGAGTGCTGCCTCCAGCCAGCTGCTGGGCCTGGGGTTCATCACCACGGCCCTGGGCCACAGCTCACAGACAAGTACACTGAGGAGGTGGGAGTCGGAGAGAAGCACTGTAACCGGGCAGCCCGAGAGGATCCGCTGATGCCGCATTGCATTCTACAAGTTTTCAATCTGCAGGGCAAGAATCCGCCTTCCACAGCTCCACACCTTCACTCTTCCCTTCTGCCTCCTTCCACTGCCTTCCTGATGAATGCAAACTTGCCAGCCCCACAAGTGAGCCAGTCTGCGCTCTGGGCATACAACCTCTAAAGCCCTGTCCAAACCAACCCTGAAGTCCTATGGTCATGCCACTCAGTGTCAGTAACTTTCCCAAGATGCAATTAGGTCACTATGAGATCTGGCCTCTATATAATCAAGTAAATTATAATACTAAATGTCATTAATCTCTCCAATCATGAACCATGTATTCAATTGGCACAGAGACAAAATATAGACATTTTAAGTTATGATGTAAGAGTAATGGCACTCTTGGTGATTTTCTGAAAAAACAAAGCAAATTCTATTTATTTCTCTCTATCAGCAGGTCTAATATGAAGTGGTTTTTTTTTCCAGAAACTTCTATACTTTAATTTCTATAGAGAAACATCTAGAAATGTGATACATATATTTTTTTCTAAATAACTTCTAGTCCTATTCAGTCATCAGAAATTATTTTGACAAAATGTTTTTAACGCCATAAGAACATGGATAGTGAAAAGGGGAGAGGGGTTCTTTTCCACTGTTGTCTTCTGACTTTCAACTTCAGGAACACTATCTCAGGTTTTGAGATACACAGGCCTTGAAACATAAGAGGATTACCAAGAATACAAATATACATAGATATACTAACTTTTCGCGTCTGTGGATGGCAGCTGTCTCCCACTTTGCCCATTGGTGTGCAAATCCGTATGCTCTTAACCCAGATACTAACAGCACAGCACATGCCTCCACCACACTGGAGGTCCTTGTCGCAGGCCTGAAATGCAATAAACAAACATAAATATAGACAATCAGAAAATACAGGCTAGGGAAATCTAAAATTAGCAATGAAAATTGTCTTTAAATATCCAACACTATTATTTTAATAATCCTATACAAAAGGAACTATATGCTTTATTTACTTGTACGTAGCTACACTAAAATCTGACCATAATAGATTTTTCCAGTTTTTTAAAAAATGGACTACATAATAGGTCCTACATTATGAAAATCATAAACACAAGATTTTTAAAAAACAAAATCAGATTTTCTAGTGCTTTATGGCTGCATTGGCTTGGAACTTGAAGAATGAGTCTATGTTAGTCGTACACTATACATGGCTATTAGGAACTACATAAATCGAATCACAAGATTTTATGACTATTAACTGCAGAATACATCAGGCTTAATGCTAAAAAAGAAATTTAAATGGTCTCTAACTTTGGCATAAAACACTTTAGACCTATAAAGGCACCAATGTAAACTTTAGAAGTATTCATTTTCCCTTGTAAATATTTGCATTTTGGTTCATGAGATTGATGCTTCCTATACTGCTAGCTTCATTTTCACCATTTCCTCTTTTAAAAAAGAAATTCTGTTGGTTGAGAATGGACAGATCAGGATTTGCACCTTATGCTACTCTTTTCAGGTGAATAAAATGTGAAATGGAAATTACTGGCTTAAGCTATAAATATGTTACATTACAAAATCAGCCTAGCCTTCCCATAACATTCACTAGATTAATACATTAAATAATACTGCAGTTATTAGCCCTAATTACTTAAACTATCTGCTCCTAATATAAAACCAATAAATTCCTGTAATCAAAGAATCAACTATGGAGGAATTTTCATAGTCTATAGAACAAAAATAATGGAGCTTGCATTTATTTGCATGAAAATGGATCTGTAGAACTATTTCTCTTTCCAGAACTAAAAAAAAGTGGGGCCCTATTGTGTGCAATTTTGCTAGTGATAAAGTAAAAGCAATCTGTAGTATTTATGTCAAATGTTAAAAGGTCTATAATTTTGGCATAAATTTAAATGTCCATTTGTTGGAGGCAACTAAAACAGTCCCGTCTTTCAAAGAACTGAGTTTTGGGGATAGGCATAACTTCTCAAAACATATCAATATGGGCTCATTCTTAGGGTTATTGTGTTGGAACTTATTTACTTCCTTCATTAGGCTTTTTTCCATATATTTAAAACCAATATGTGGCTAAAACTACCATTTTGCATGGTTTGCGTTATATAGAAGAACAACCAGTCATTTCCTTTTTCCAGTTTTTATCTGCATGCTAGAAAACATAGATATACAGCCATCACAGGCCATAGATAAGATGACCAGTTAACAGTTTTTCAAATGCAATCTTAACAAATCTGTATGGACATATAAATCAATTTCAAAATACCTATTATTTAAAAAAGTAAATACTTAAACTGGAAGTTTCAGCCAATATTTTATTTTCGTAGATGCCTACTACCCTGAATTCTGAAGCCCCACGAGCTCTTTTTCTAAGACAATCAAAAATCCAGCCAAAATCCTTTCAATCACCTGTATGTTTAACATCATATATATATATATATATATATATATATATATATCCAGATAAGTCACCGAGATTTTTATTTGAATCCAGATGGTTCCTGTCAGAGAGATATAACTATATTTTATTGCCCTGTGGCTTTAGAGAAAGCTTTTAAAATAATTCTTTTTGTAACACTGAGTTACAACAGCAGCAGCACACATATACAACTACATAATAAACCCAGTCCAAACCTATTCAATAGACATACAACGTGCTAAAATTTCATTTTGCAACAAAAAAAGCTTCAGTTCTTGGAGAGTTTACAAAGAATTACTGAAGTTTATATAATTTTAATTAGACAGTTGTTTCCCAATGCCCTTCATCCTTAACCCATTGCAGAGCTATTCAAACAGCGTTTTCCTGTGAACTGAACAAAAAGATACTTATATTGCAAAGGAATCTTGGGCTCAGAGGATTAGGAGACATTTAAAATGAACCAGCAGGGGAAGAGGGAAACAATCTCAACCATGTTGCAATTCTCATGTTTTAGAAAGACCTGTAGAAACTTTTGTTCAACTACATGGGCTGTTGACAAAGTTACACAAATAATTTTAAAAATCTAGTAAGAACCATAAGTCCATAGCTAAATATTTGTTGGATGCAATCACATACTGTCCTGTACACTAGTAAGTACCACAAGTCTATAGCTAAATATCTATTGGATGCAATCACATATCGTCCTGTACACAGGCTTTCAAAATGTTATCAGCCTATTAATACAGAGACAATAGAACCTTATTTTCTCAAGACAATGATACTTCCTTTTAATCAAATGCTATTGCTTATCTACGTCTCTTTGTAAATAAGCATATACATTTTATTTATCCGATAATGTATTTTGATATTTGAAGTAACTGAATAACATAAATGAATTTAATGAAGTAAAATACCTTAACACTTAAAAGAAGGCTGAAACAGCTGAACAAGGAGCAAGTCATGGCGATCTTGCATAACTAATGTCAACTAGGCAAGACTTTTTCATTTTGTACTGTAAACTCATTCTTGAGATAAACACAAAGAAAACTGCTGGGAGTCGGAGAGAACTAAATTAGGGACTACTTCCAAAAATAAAGAAGACGTCTTAAGTTTAAAGAGGGTCTACTTGGCAGCCGCCTCCATCATTCTGCCCTGGAGGTGCTTTATCAGGAACCAGAAATGGAAAACTTTTACAAGAAGGACCTCAAAAGTCTGAAGGAAAGAAAGAAAAACTCCGGAACCCGGGAGGAAGCGCCTACAATTGCTTTTCAAAGCGCACAAATGGCCCTGACCCAAGTTATTTCAAAGGGTTTCTGCTGGGGACGCATCGGGGGGCGCAATCTCCGCGAATCTAGGATTAAGACCCGCGGGACTTGGGATATTCGTCTTGCTTCCTTGCATTTCAGGAAGGGGTCATCGATTTTGAAAGGTTCGGGGCTGGAGCGCCTTGAAAAGCACCTGAGAAGACTGTGAACGAAACTTCCTTCACCTAGCCAAACATCGAACCGAGGCGAGGTCGCGGGGTTAGGAGGGAAAGTGGAACAAGGCGGTGGTGGACACTCATATTTCTCCAGGTTCCGAGCCGTAGGCAGCTTTGCAGACAGCACTTTCCCAAGTGAACCAAAGGCGGCTCACACAGGTGTCGCCTGCCCCTGGCGACCCTCCCCATGCCCCTGCACGCCCTTCTGCGCCCCAGTTCCGAGCCCCGCTGGAGACTCCTAGTGCGCGCCCGGTGCCGACAGGTGCGCTCGGGCTCTTACCCCGGTGATCACCGCGGCGTCTCCGGACGACGGTGCGAGCCACAGCAGCGGGAGCAGGGGCAGGAGCAGGAGCAGGAGCGGGACGCAGCGCGGGCTTCTCATCGCGCCCTTGGGCGTGCGCGGCGTCTGGGGCGTCCGGGGCCCTGGGCCGGTCGGGCACGGCACGGCGCGGCGCACGGCAGCGGGCGGGCGCGGCGGCGGCTCCGCGAGCCCGGCGCGGTTATAAAGGCGAGTCCCGCCGTGACTCACGCCGGCGCCCGCCCGGCAGCGCGCACGGGGGCACGGCGCGGGCACACACCCCACGCCCCCCGTGCACACGCGCGCCCACCCCCGGCCGCCCCGAGCCACGCACGTGCTGCGCCCCGCCTAACCCCGGCGCCGAGCAGGCAGCGCCCCCCGCGGGGCGCCCTGTGCCAAGCCATTCTTCCCGCGGCCGCCCGCCGCTCCTTTCCGCGCGCGCCCCAGAGTCGCTTTTGTGGTCTCGGAGTCACTCCTTTGCTGTCCTGGTTTCCAAAGCTCCACGTGCTCGCCGCCCACAACTTGCAGATCATTTGTTCTGCAGATGTCGGGAGAGCCTACTACGTGCCAAGCGCCGCGGGCACATGGGACACCGGGGAGGGGGAGGTTGTGTCGCGCGACAGCCCCAAATACGTTCGTTTGTGCACTGCCACACAGAGCACCCATTGTATGCCGTATCCTGCCACAGCTCTGTCCTCGTGGTGGGACAACTGAGCAGAAAAGACAGATGCTCAACCCTGGAAACGTGAGAGGAACAAAGAGAGTCCCCAGTCACCCACGTCCCAGCGGCGGCGGGTGAGGGTGTCCTTCCAGCTGCGGGAGTCTTTAATTCTTTCATTTAAAATGCCTTCCCTTGACGCTCACATCTGTTCCCGACTCTCTCCTCTCTGATTTTCCTCACATGTATTTCCTCTGGTCTTCTTCAGCCAGAGTAGCTCAGGATGATGCCAACGGGAAATGAGAACTCCCCGCTGCCTGTGCCAGCTGGAGGCCCCTTAATCCGTAGACGGGCAACTCTCTGTCTCATTTTGCAGCCCAGGGAGACCCAGGTTCAGTCTTAGAAGATGTGACACGGCTTTACCGTGATTGCTTCGTGCACGTAAACAAGAACGGAGTGGCCACTGGGTTCTGGGCACTTCAGGACAGGCCAGATGACAAACGTGCTGTCTTCCATTTGACCCTAGCCTAGCTCCACTTGTACAATCAACAAAGAAAAGTCGAAGAGTTCCCCAGGTGTGACCACCCAAACTCGATCGCATGCTCCCTGTCGCCCCCAATCGTTGGAACCTCGGACTTGGCTTTGTTAGGACAGACACTGTTGAAAAGCATATCCATCTTTCAGCCTCTTTCTTAAATGCAGTAAGGAGAGTTGAAACAAAGTTACTTGCAGACTAAAAGGCTCCCCCATGCCAAAGCACTCAGACGAAATGTTAAAAACAAAAGAAAACAGAGAGACAGAGATAAAGAGAGAGACAGACAGAGACAGAGAGACAGACCGAGACAGACAGACAGAGAAGAGACAGAGACAGAGAGACAGACAGAGAGAGAGAGAGAGAGAGAGAGAGAGAGAGAGAGAGAGAGAGCGCCCAGAGCACAATTAGCTGAATGTTAAACAGCTGAGTTTTAGAAACTCAGAACTGATTTTTAGCCTCCCCACCCCGTCCAATTTTTTAAGCATGTTTTCAAGTTGGGAAATATTCTGAAACAGAAAACACAGAAGGGATCAAGCTTTTTTTTTTTTTTTTTTTTTACTTTAAAAAAAACTGTTAAAATTGGACTCAGGGTAAAATAAGTGGAAACAGTAGCTAGTGACAGACTGGTGGAAAGTTTCCTTTTCCAGTACGCATGCCAGCGAGAGCGCGGGAATGCTGCCGGGCAAATGTAAAAACCAGTCTACATGGAGTTTTAACTTTCCTACAAGTTTTTTTAGATGGTCTATTTCGTATTCACTACTGTTGAATGCCAGCTTGGGTATTCCCTGCTTCTCTGAGCATACATAGGCAAAATGTGATTTCAAAAGTGGGTGGCTTCTTGCATGGTTGTTTAGAAAACAAACCTTATAAGACTGTTTTGAAAGGAGGTTACTTACAAACAGTATTGGTTCGGTTTCATATTATTCCGCTGGGGACTGCTCCTGGCCCCCTTAGGTGCTAGGCATCAAACCCAGGGCCTCACACCAGCTAGGCAAGGAAGAGCTCCACCACTGAGCTGTACCTCCAGTCCTCTGTAAGGTCTTTGATTTTCTGTAATGCTTTGGAGGAGAAATGGAGGTTCTTGATAAATGTCTGAAATCCATAGGAAAATTTGAAAGTCAAATCCAATTCTTATAAGTGGAAAAATGAATGAATTTGGGGGACTTTGGAAAATAAGGTATGAAGGCTGACCTACCAGCAGTGAAACAGAAATCAGAGAGTAGTTTTCTATTTTATTACTGCAGCCTGTTGACTATAATCAGTCAGCTCAGGGGTAAGTGTTTGGGGGGAAATGAACTCTGAGTGTCTCAGAGTATAGACCACGTTCTAGCCATGCATCCAGCTGAACAGAAGATATAATACAGGAGAGTCAATGGGGCCCCATGCTAGTGAGTCAGAGTGAACTGGGTTGGAGTTCCTGACACCACTGGGCAACTTACTTAATCTTTGAAGGCTCTATTTCTTTTTCTGTCAAATGGCTATAAAATACCAACCTCCTGGAATACAACCCCCATGGGGCTTAAAAGGGACTAATACCTGGAAAGTGCTACGCATGGTGGCTAGAACTGACGGGAGCCCTCTTAGGGTTACCTCTTATTCAATCTAATCATTTGTCTCCCGGACAATTTTGGCCGGCATTGAAAAAGATCCTTTCTGTCTTTCTTACCAGATTATGTTGTCTCCTTCTCTTCTATTTTCCTGCCAATTCCTCTTGTACACAGCATGATGGCAGGCAGACAGCCAGTATCCAGTAAGTAACTGATGATTACCAGGATGTACTCTGTGGACAACAGGCCAGCAGCAAGTTGTAAGCCAGTGATGTACAGTGTAGACATGTCTAATTTACATGACTCAATTAAATGTAGGCAGCAAAAAATAGGGTCGGACACTGAACGTCAAAGCGAGGCAGGTGTTTTCTTGTCTCTCAGAAAACATGAAACTAAAATGAGGTGAGCTGGGGAAAACACACCTGTCTGATAACAGTCTCTGGGTGACCTGGGTTAACAAAGCCTCCATCTTAAAGCATGTTTCATGACTGCCAGTGTAGAGTAGGGTATCATGTTAAGTCATAGCCTAACCCCAAGTACCTATAAGTACGACCTTCTCTGAGGGTGAGGTCTTTCCAGATGTAATCAACTGAAGATAAAGTCATTGTATGTCAAATGACTAAAGCCAGTGATGGTGTCTTTGTAAGAGAATGGAGAGGGAGATTTGGATACAGAGGCCCAAAAGAGATCAATGCACAAAGAGAGATCCATGTGCAGATGGAGACGGAGCCTGGAGTGCTGTATCTACAAATCAAGGAGCACCCAGCAATATGAGAACCTAGAAGAGCAAGGAAGAATTCCTCCATGATGCCTGTAGAAGGAGCATTGCCTTGCTGACATCTTGATTTTGAATGTCTAACCTCCAAAATCATGAGAGAATACATTTCTGAGGTTCTGAGACATCCAGTTTTAGTAAATTTTTCTCAAACTAAAACAGGTGTGAGAGCTGAAAGGCTGCATATCAACTTTAACCTGCCTCTGCCTGGATAAGATGCCTGTCATTGTTCCTCGCATTTTGGGGACTGATGCAAGTCGTGTGACAGTGTTTTGAAGGGGCTGAACAGTGAAAATCTGCAATTCTTGCTGGTTTCTGAGAGAACCAGAAATCTGGTGACCAGCATCGTATTCCATAGGAAAAGGGTCATTCGTGGCTTGGACTCTTTAGCAAGCTTAATGACCTTTGAGTTATTCGTAATTCTTTTTATAAATTATAATACTGTGTTTTTCCTTCATAGTTTTTCTAATTCACTTCCCCTTATACTGGAATTATGCAAAAACTCTGAAAGGGAGTGAAGATTGAAGCTGGGGCTATTTTCTTTCAAGTAGGTAGTAAGCAGTCCTTCACTCGTTCCACAGGTGCTTACTAAGCGCGTATTGTATGCCAGATTGGAGCAAAGCACAGGGGTTCAATAAATATTTACCAAATTACTAAACATGCAGAGGGAAGAATGGAGGAGAAGTGGTAAGGGCAGAGCTGACAGGAAGCTGCTGCAGGGACCTGGCAGGTAGCTAAGGGGCACCGTGAACTAGTTCACATGAGAACCTAAATGACTAGAGTTTGCTGTTGGTGAAGATGAAGGTTGGCGAAGGAAATGTTCAGATCCATCTCGGATAACCGACTGACTAGGACATGTTGGAAATCACCCAGATGTGGGGAAAGGCAGGGGGAAGAGGCTGAGCTAAAAATAAAATTCTGGACAGATTTACCTTAAGCAGTAAAAAAAAATTTTTTTTTTTTTGCCCACTTCATAGAATGTAGCCACAACGGTAAAGTTATAGTTTAAAGGCTGAAAAACTGTGACCCTTTGTTTTTGTAAATAAAGTTTTACTGGGACTCAGCCACACTTGTTCCTGTATGGGCCATGCTGCTCTCACTGGGCAATGAGGGGTTGATGCTTGTAAGAGAGACTGTGTTTGTGGAGTCTTTTTGGGAGAAACTGTATGCCAAAATGTCTGGCCCTTTGCAGAAGGTTTGTAACCCCTGTTTCTGTAGTAAAGAGGATCCTTAAGGGTTTTTTTTTTTAAACTGTTTATTCTTCTTTGTTTATTGTCACCTCCTTTGCTTGGGTCTCTTAAGAGATGTACATAAGGCTTTCCCTGGTTTATCAGTGCAAGCTGTCATCCTCCTGAGTATGGAGAAGTTGCCCAGTTCTGTTTTGTTGATGGACTCCTTGTGTGTTCATCTTATTGTATGAAATTTCATTTCAATTACCTGCCACACAGTAGGTGCTCAATAAATATTTGTTGTGGCTCATAAGGAGAAAAGGCAATACTGTAGATGTATGTTAAATTTGCCACCTTGAACCAGAAGCCTGAGGCATTTTACTTGAATATATAAATGAGGAGAACTTTGATTGTTCTTTTACACGAAGCTCTAGTTTCAAAAGTGACTCCAGCCTGTTCAAAGACTTCCTTTGCACATGTCTTTTTCATATAAATTATTAAAGCATAATAAGTAGGCCTGGTACTTTCGTAACTGGGTCCTATTTATCTTTGTGTAAATGATTTT